AGGCTACAAATGAGCAGGTGCAAATCATGGCAGAGAAATGGGTACCGTATTCTTGACCTTGGAGGACAATGACAGTCCCTGTCCACCAATCAGGCCCATAGTGGACAGCTCTCTCACACAACGGCCAGCTTCCACCATGCCAAGTCACTTGGAGTCTTGGCAAATTGTGAACATGACAGTAAATACCAGGCTGATGGGACCTACCAGAAATCCTGTCCTCTCCTAAGCGGCCTACTGAGGACCAGCACAAGAATACTCAGTAACTCAGCGTGCTAAAAAATATAGCACTGGTCCTAAAACTACCTTGTCTAAATATCTAGCATTTAGAAAGATGTCAAATAAGTATTTAAACAAAAGGTGATAGCTCTAGAGAGAACACAGGAATAACCTTTCCGTCATAACATAAGAAAATGAGTAATATTAAAATTCAAATCTCTGAACTCAAACTTTTCAATAAATTCCAGGGTCAGGTTAATTTAAACAACATTGAATTAGTGAAAAATAAAGTTATTAAGGGCCCTGAATAGGTCTAGACATTTGGAAAGGGACCTTTTTCAAATATAGAGGCCACCAAAAAAAAAAAAAAATGTTCACACAATTCAGGAAAAACTTGTATAAGGTGAACGTTTTCTTGATTTAACACCTGGAGACTTTTGTCTATGGGGGACCCTAGAGGATGTCCTATATCGCAGAAAACCCACTACACTGCCGGCCCTTAGAACAGAAATTGAAAATGCATATGCATCAATTCCAATGGATTCTTTGTCCAAGGTTCCCCAAGCAGCAATTTGCTGTACTAATAAATGTCTGGCAGCGAATGGCCAAGACTTTGAGCACCTCTTGTAATTGTAGAGGCCAAAGGTAATTTGTATTAATCTCATGATGTCTCAATAAAATTAGTATTAAAATATTTATAAAGTTTTTCATTTCCTGAAGTGTGTATACAATTTTTTGGTGAACTGTATACTGTGCTAGGATCTTCAACATTCTCCCCTCCAAGGTATTTAATTCATGATTTAATGATTGAGTATAACAGTAAGAAATGGATAAACTTTCCTGCTTATTTACTGTTGTCAAGAAAAAGCCCCATTTTCTAAAGAAATAGAAAATTTTATTTCCTTAAATTACATGGAATATATAAAGATTTAAGAAAAATCAGCTGGGAACAGTTATAATTCAGGCAGGAGGATCACAAGTTCACGTCTGGCCCTGGGTAATGTAGCAAGATCCTATCTCAAAATAAAAATAAATTAAAAGAACGTGGTAGATAGCTCAGTGGTACAGTACTCCAGGGTTCTATTTCCAGTACCACAAAAAGAAGACTTAGACAAAATATGACAGTTAATACAATATCTTTAGCACAATTGTTTGATAACTCTCAAAAATGAGCAGGTTAACCTTCTCTTATTTTGAGTTAACCTATAATACACAAAAGTACTCACTCAAATTTGGAATGATTTTTCTACTTCTAGGATAGAGAGAAAGAATAATATATACCATACTGAGATACATACAACACTCAGTTTAACTTTGAATAAATCATCTTTACGCTAATGAGAAGTCCTAAGTTAAATTTACTAGCATTATCTCCAAACCATGTAACAAGGAAGCTATTATATTTTACACAAAAATATTTAAAGAACAAAACAAGAACTTGTTACTGCATATCTTAAACCTAGTACTACTTAGGATCTGAGTAAATAGTTTATTCCCAGAAAACTTCCTTATTGGAATAAAGAACAGAAACTGATGCTTTCCAGATAAAATTTACATTTTCCCTGAAATATACTCAGATGTTCTTCTAATACATTTTTTTAACTCTACATTTCTGGGAAGGCTGAAAGTACAAAATATGAACTGATATACATGATCAATATTTAGGTAGTTTACATCCTTTCTAAGGACAAAGAACACTTTCTCACAATTTAAGTACTGAGATTAACATGTGAAAGTCATCCAAGTGGATACAGAGAATTAATGATTCCAAGAGGATGGGGATGAGGCAGTAACCCTAATATATTATTCTAGTTCAAGACCAAAGAAGATGCATTCGAAGAAAACTAAGAAAATTTATGACTAAGACTTCATTAAAAGATTATCAATTCAGACCCACAAGAAAATCCTTTGTGTTGCTTGTTTTATTTGAGCCTACCTTCTTCACATAGGAAAAGGAACTTGTGATACATTGTGGGAATCCAGACCCATCACTGATTGATTGATTGATTGACTGATTGATTGAAACAGCTCTTAATGATGAATCATTTTGAACATGCCCATTAATAATCTAATTGTTCATCCCTAGAGTTCCACCTCTAGTCAAGAATACATCTTTAATATAATCCAAAATTATTTAGCTAGCTAGACTGCTCAAATTGTCTATGATTCAAAGGAAATGTATGTTGACTGACAAACAGCAATAAGAGTAAATGAACCAGAATGGAATAGGATGTCTTTTCTTCTTTGCAGAGAAGTAATATCAAATTCTCCTGTATCTCAGTTAATAAGAGTGAAGGAGTATTAAGGAACTTGCACACATTATCCATTTAGGTGGCCGAATGAGAGCATGTATCTAACACAGCATGGAGTGACAGCAAAGTACATACACAGCTTTGTTATTTTATTTCTTTGAGCCTCTATTTCCTTCCCAGTAAAATGGAGACAGTAGCAGTTACAGTGCAGTGGTGTGAGGATTAGCCATAATGCACACAAAGCTCTTTACCCTCCACGAGTTTTTCAAAATGCACCACTGTTATTTTCATGCAACATTGTTCACAGTTAATTCAATGTATGTACTATACAGCTTCAATACTAGGCACATTATTTAATAGGTAAATCATAAATGAAAGAGAAAGATGGCTTTCATCTCACTTAGCCAGGGAGACTAAAGAGAGTTAGTTTTATCTGTTTTGGTTTGGATCGAAAATGTCCCCCAAAGGGCTCAAGAGCTGAGGCGAGGCTTTAGGAAAATGACTGGCTCCTAATCCACTGCATCAGCGGATTAACTCATGCAAAATGTGATGGCTGGTAAGGGGTGGACCTACTTGAAGGGGTGCCCTTGGGTATTTCTCTCTCTCTCTCTCTCTCTCTCTCCCCCTCCCTCCCTCCCCCCTTCCCCATTTCCTGTGCCATAGCTGAGCAACTTTGCTCTGCAGCACCCTTCTCACCACGGGCCCAGAAACAACAGGGCCACAAGACCATGGACCAAAACCTCTGAAACTGTGAGCCAACAGAAACCTTTTTTACTTCATGTCGATTTTCTCAGCTATTGTCACAGCAACAAATAGCTAAGGAACATAATACCAAACCCAGTTTTCCCTGAACACTCAGCGTAACATGTTTTCAAACAGGAAATACATACTTTTAGATCAGGAGCTGGCCAACAGTAATCTGTACAAAGCCAGTTAGTAAACATTTTAGGCTTTGTGGGCCAGGCTGTTTCTATCACAGCTACACAACCCTTGTCACTGTAGCAAGAAAGCAGCCACAGAAAGTACCTGACAACGGGCATGGCTGCATTTGAATAGACCTGTAGAACATGGGGCCAGAGGCTGGACGTAACCTATGGGCCACAGTTCACCAACTCCTAGTTTAGATCACTGTGCTGGTAAGAATTTTTAAACTATGGGTAGAAAATACTCCAGTTTAAAATGAGATCTTCCACATCAGCAGCATAAATAAGAAACTATGAGAGGCATTTTCAAGGTCCTTCAGTCCTGAATCTTCAAACCTGTAAGACCACAAACAGAAATGCAACTTACCCTGAGACCCTGCATAGACATGCATGAGTGCATGCAAACTGTCCCCTACTATGGGTCACTGGTTTTGTTTCTTTCCAAAAATGAAATAAAATGTAGTCGTGAAAATCAGGGAAGCAGGTATTAAAGGGGAAAAGGCCAGCAAGCCTGAGTCTCAAATACATAAGGAACGCAGAAGAGAGGTGTGTGCAATCCGAATTACTGTGCCTAATTTCCAGGTTTCAGGCACAAGTTGAATCCAGAAATAAGATCCTGAGATGCAGACAGACCTGACAGTGTCTATGTGACTTTAACCAGCCTCGTTATGGAGCTAATGGGTGATTACATGTCAAACAGCCTTAGAAATGATTTCACAGATGAAAAGAGGTCAATTAAAATGTAAAGGGAGCATATTAAAGAAAAATATTTCAAAGTAAAAAAAATTAAAATTGTTCGTTGCCACAGAGTAAGAAAGCATCAAAGCCAGGATCTGATCATAGGTGCTGTGGGTTCTTTAGTCTTAACCATGAACCCAAATAGGTCCCCAAAATAAAACAAGAGTAGACATTTCCAGAATTATACAGTTCAGCTTCCGCCAATGCACCAGGCTGTCCAGCCCACATGATATCTCTGGTGACCCTGCAGCCTTTCAGAATAAAATGCATTAAACCTCGAACCACATCACATATCAAAGGCTCTCAGGTGTCCCAGACAGCACAAATAAAAAAGGAGCTTTATTGATATCTTTATAGAAGCGTTGCTGATCACTGATATAAGCACACAACTTTATTTAAATCACATGACACAAGCTGAGACGCTGTATGATGACAATGTCCTAACATTCTTGCTTGGCCAACTTTACTTCTCCCCTCATCGCTTCAAAAACATGTAGCAACAAATGACTTTCCTTTCTAAAATGTCAAAACAAATGTATTTTTTTAAAGTTAAAAGCAAATTTGTTCTGGTCCGTTTGCTGCTTCCCTCACACAAGCTGTAGGATGAGAAACCGGGTGTTTTCCCCAAGATCATTAGTGGAAGTATGGGTCCATGTTTCTTTTCCGATTTTTTTTTATCCTATTTTATTAAAATCTTGCCTTTTTCCCTTAGAGTTAGAAACACAGTATAGAAGAACGCAGTGCACAAAGTAATCGAGAGTAAATGTAGTGAGAAATAAAATTCCCACGTGAAGCCATATTTACATTTTGGTAAAACTGGAAATCACCCAAGCTCGTTCTTAAGCCTTTCTCTGTTTTGCTTCTCCTGGAGGGATTCCTGGTGGGCTCCACTCACCCACTGCACATGTGGTCCGGCTTATCTCAGCAATTGTCCCTGACACACCTCAAGCGTGACGGGAGATGGATCATTTTTCATCAATGAAGGAAGCTCTGTGAAAAGCTGAGGCGATGGAAAACAGAAGCTCAGGCCCCAAGCTCCTGCAGGTAGGCCAGAGACCTGCTCTGAATTTTCAGATGTAAAGCTTTACATGAGATATTAGATTGGCAAAGGCATCTTAAATATGTTCAACTACATTTTATAAGGTCAACAATTCAGGTAAGGCACTTCAAGGGAAGAGATGACCAACTCATTTAGGTAAATGATGTAAAGGCATCTCAAAAGAAAAAACTTAATCTTTCTTTATTTTTCATTAATATGAAAGCCTTTTGGTATCAAAACTTTTCTATACTTGATTAATGTAAAAAGTATATAGGCCATTGTTTGAATTCGTCTCAGTTCTTAAAATACATTCTCAAGAGTAAAGAGTTAAAAGACATTTCTACCATTTTCTTTCATCAGAATGCATCATTAAAGACTAGTTTGGCCTTCTACTGTCGCCTCTCAGTCCCCACTGAGGAAAGTACATATGGTTACCAGTTAGTGGAAATATTATGTAAAATAATGATTTGTCAAGCAGTAAAGGGCACACAGACATGTAAGTAGCATTACTTACAGACTTGTGAGTAATGGAACACTTAAGTAATAGAGTGCTAAATACATTTTTATATTGATCCTCATCAAGATTCAGGTTTGTCTGGTCTTCATTTTCTCATTTCTACAACACAAAGAAAACAATGTAGCTTCATCTTCCCCTTTCTATTTCCACTGGCTACTTAGGAATATTGTTTCAATTAATTTGAAAATCTCTCCACACTATCCAATGACTTGAGAAGCTAAGCTACACATTTAAGAGATCATTAAACTAGGATTTTGTTCTAAATTTGTAAGAAATTTTAAATGTAAAGTAATCAATGATTGCAAGGATTAGAAAAGAGAATATAAGCTTACAGTAATACTCATCACTCCTGGATCTGAGACAGAAAAAGCAGCGAAGTGATAATACATTCAGATATATGTCAGAAATAGATGCCACCAATGGCTCTTTCCCCTGAAGAACTCCTAAAATATAAACTATCAGAATATAAACAATTCTTACAGTATGATAGTCTTAAAAGTCTGATTCTGCCTCCAGTAGGATTTACCAGGAAAAAAACACACATACACACACAAAAAGAGAAAAAAGATTCTGTGTGGAAAAGAGATCTGGGACTGGAAGAATATTTTGAGAAAGATAACAGCCTAACTTTCTTGTGTTCCAAACTCCAGCAGGTCAGGATTTTGTGGTTCCCAAGAACTGGAACATGAAAATATCTACAGAACTGAAATAGCTTGGTCTCACCAACTTTCCAAGATTGCATAATACAGGATAACACAATTCTTCAATATTCTTTAATTATCCATCTAGCTTTTGCTCTAAAACATAATGATTACATTGAAATCCATCAAATTTAAGGTTTCCTGAAAAGGGTAAACACCTTTCTTCAGAAAGTGACATAAAACCCTGGAATTTTTAAAAAATTTCCTCTATCAAGGAGAAGCTGGCAAATAAGATCTGAATAATAGATTAAAGGCAGCAGCAGGGTGAAAACAGCATTGAAGCATGGCAGCTCTGTGTGCCATGGTGGCTTTCATGTCTTAATTCTTACCTCAAGCCACAGTTTATACTTTGGAGCTTTCAAATCTCTAATAAAAGATAAAATAAAATATATAGCCAATGTGTTGCTCTAAGGGCTATTCTGACAAAATTTATTCTTCTTCAAAAATGTCCCTAATGTTTCCCAAAAAAACCTGAAGAAAATTCTCTCATCTTCAGTAATGACAAAAGAGCAAACTGTCCCAAAAATGAGGGGTTTGTCCATATCAGTTTCCAAAAGTCCACAGGATCGATAGTATGCAGGGTTGACTAGAAGTGAGGGGAACAATAGCTGGAAAATGTGACCTTCTTCTCTGTGCCCCACCCGCATGCAAGGCAAGGCTGTATCAGGGAGTTAGTGCCCAGCAGGCATCTCCTTTTCCAGAGGAAAACTTGGACTTGTGAAACCAATTTTTTATGTGTTAATCTTTACCTTTATTATTCCTTAATTAAATTTTTGGAATGTTTTAGGTATACAATATTCTGACATTCATCATTGGAAATTTGTACTTTTACATGATCTCTCTTGGTTCTTATTTTTCCCCCTTCCCCTGCCCTCCCTTCAACCCCTCCATCCCTCCCTATTTAGAAAACATTTGTTTCCATTTTTTCATTTTCTCATATTAATTCCGTTCCCTTCTTTCCTTTCCCCTACACCTCCCACTTCCCCTTCCCCTTTGCCCATTTTCTTCATATTCCACAATATCTACTGTAAATTTTCGTCCTTATTTACACTTTCAGTTTCTCACACTAGAGAAACTATTCAGTATTTACACATGTGTGTCCTACTTATTTCACTTAAGAGTATCGCCTCAATGTACATCCATTTAGCAATAAATGTCTCTAATTTCTCCTTTTTTGTGGTTGAGTAGCACTCCATTTTATTTAAAAAACACATTTTCTTTATCCAGTCTCCAGGTGACGGGCATTTGGGCTGCTTCCAAGTTTTAGCTATTACAAACTGTGCTGCTATGAACATGGGTGCACATA